GTTCAGCCCTGAAATAATCTGGGGCTGTCTTTGAGGTAGATTAGTTTTGATTGGTTCAGTTTAAACACTGGGCACAAGATCCTAGGATTTTCATGAGACATCAGGTTTCAGCTTCTTGATCACTTGTTTTGTCTTTAATTATTAAAATCCAGTCAAAATCTGGGTTGCCTAACCATCTCTCTATATTTAGGAATTTTGTGTTCTGTTAACCATGACCCCCTTAAGTGGTTAGACTTCAAGGTTCATCCCCCTAACTTCACAATGAACCACTGTTGTTGATGTTACTGCCTCCTGACCACTCCACCTGATTTTCTGTTGCATACTTCTGAGGTTCCAAGTTAGAAATACAGTTTGATGGCCTTGAGCCATCATCATCACCATCTCTGCACTTCCAGCCATGCTGGTGTCCTTCTCCCTGGTCCTTCTCAACACAGATGCTCCAGCATCCACAGACAGCATGGACTCTGCACACTTCCTCTGGAAATGTTTGCTGTTCCATCCACTCTGGCATATGCACTTCTCTGAGATTTTTGATCCCCACTCTTCTACTGCCAGATTCAACCAGTCTAGATTTTCTGTGTCCTGCAGTGTGGGCTAGCCTCTGACCAGGTCTAGGAAGCCATCCCTGGACCACTGCAGTACGTCCAGGGGATTAGGTATGTGTTGTTCTGGTTTTATTATGATGCTGTAATGCACACACTATCAAGAGCAATGTAAGGGAGAAACTGATTTATTTAATTCCTACTTCTAAGCCAGAGTCTGTCGCTGAGGGAGGTCAGGGCAGGTACTCAGAGGCAGGCCCATGTGCTATTCCTCACAGCATTATCTACAACTAAGGAACTCACTTCACAGCCAGAGAGGCACAGTAGGAACCATGGAGGATGCTGCTTGCTGTCTGAATCACTAGCTCCTGCATAGCTAGATTTCTTATCCAGTCAGAGACCACCTGCCCCAGGAATAGTAATGTCCATAGTGGCTGCACATTTCTACATCATTAGTAGTAGAAACAGGCCCTCAGTAGACAGTCTCTTCTTAGGTGAGGCTAGGCTGGATCAAACTGGCAGTTTGAGCTAACCAGCAAAGATTTTCAAGTCTATGATCTGAGAGTACAGATCAGTAAAAATGGTGTCCATGCAACCTCTGTCCCATCCTCACCCTGCTCACTCTGCCCCTCCAGCCTCACGCACCATCCTGTGTCCACACGGTCTACATGAGCAGCTTCTGGAGATTCTCCAGGATGAACAGAACCAGAGAAGACATCCTGAAGTTTTCCTGTCATAACTGACAGGGCCAACCCCTAGCGAGGTCACGTGATAACGCATAAGAGATTGTTGCTGTAGGAAGTCTCACAGTCAGTGGTTACCTGCCCATTGTATAGGCCTCTTACACTATATATGCAGACGTAGAGCATGCATCCAGCCTCTCTGCTGTGGTTGTAGGATTCGTTTTCTGATCTCCATTCAAGCAGAGGAGTCCGATTTGAGAGTCTACCCCTAAATAAATGACCATCTATTTCTCAGTTCTGAGCTAGTGTGGGATTTCTTTTAAGTATCCTTCTACAAATTGTCGATGGAGATCAGGGGTTGCCCACACCATAACCTACATCTTCAAGCAAGAGAAATTGACTGACTGTGTTTTACTTAGCTCAGTGGAAACCCAGTCAGCTCTCCAGCGGGGCTAATTGGCTTCTCTCTGACTCCACCTTTCTTTCTCCCAGCATTCAGTTCTGCCTTCCCTGCCTACCTAAGTTCTGCCCTGCTATAGGTCCAAAGCAGTTTCTTTATTCATTAATGATATCCAAGCATACAGAGAGAAAGCCCACATCAGTCAGCCATTTTATTTTATTTCCTTTATTTACTTAAGAAATTTATTTATTTCTCTCTTTTTTAAAGACTCCCTTCCAAAAGATTTTCTTGATCTACAGGCAGAGACTGTCTCTGAGCCCCAGCTCTGCATCCCTAACCTCACTGCATGTTTCCTTCACAGATGCTGCTTCTCTTTGCTACACCTACACTGTGGGCAGGTCAGGGTCTGGACCATGGAGGCAGGAAGTCCAAGGCCAACTGAATGTAGAGACTTTTCTTTCCTACAACAGCAGTAACAACAACTGCCAAGCCATTGGTGTTCTGGGGAACTGGCTGAATGCCACAAAGATCTGTGACCCACAGATTGATGCTCTGAAAAATGGAGTTGACCTGTTCAAAGAACAAGCGATCCACTTGAAGCAGGAGAATAAGACATTCAGAGGTAAGCTTCAAATGGCCCCATATTCTTGGGGTAGAGTACTTGCCTGGTATGCATGAGGCCCTAGGTCAAACTGCACTGCCACAAACTAAATAAAAGAACATATTAGATGGGCCCCCGAGGGAAAGAACAGGATTTGTGACACATTAGGGACATTCATTGTTTTCATGGAGAAAAAAAATGAATCACTGGTAGTCAAACCTAAGAGGTCCTGCAGCAAGGCTTTAGGGTAGAGCAAGGTCAGAGGATGGGAGAGAGGGTAGGGGACAGGATTCATCAAGGGCAGAGGCTCATTTCTTTCCAATGGGCACAGAGCCCCTTGCTCTGCAGGCCAGGCTGTTGTTGTTGGCATGAAGTAGATGGACGTTTCAATGGATCCTGGGACTTTGACCTCAATGGACACAAAATGGTCCATGTTGACACAAGCACTGGAGAGTGGACTGAAGTTGACCCTGGATCCAGCTGGATGAAAGAGATGTGGGAGAAAAACAAGGATTTAACAGACTTTTTATCCAGGACCTCACAGGGGGACTACAGGATCTGACTTAAGGAGATGATCAAGTCACTCTTGGAAGAAAAGCTGGAGCCTACAGGTAACTTGGAATAAAGGGAAGAAACTCACTGCAGATTAGGGTGAGTGTGTCTGTGCATGTGTGTGTGTGAGCTCTCTCTCTCTCTCTCTCTCTCACACACACACACACACACACACACACACACACACACACACACACGTAATAATCTAATCACCATGAGTCCTTGGGTTAATGGTCATTTTTTTCTGTCATTTATTTCATTTCTCACTCTCTCCTATCTCATTAATTGTGGTTACATTGTTCTCTCACTGCGGGTCTCGCTGGCTGTCACAGTCTGAGCATCCTTGTATTTCCTGGCCTTTTCCTCATTCTGCACTCACTGTTGCTTTTCCTCTCACCTGATCTGTCTTCTTCCCTGGCACCATCCTCACAGGTCATCTCATGCCTCCTATCCTGCCAGAGGAAAGATGGGCTCCATTATTATCCTGCTTCTCCTACCATACCTGTCTGAGTCTTATTAGGTCACAGAACATGCTGTCTCTCCCTTCCTACTCAGGATCCACCTAAACAGTTGTTACATAGCAATGGGGGTGGAACTCTGTGTTGCTGAATTGCTAGACAACCCAGAAGCTATGGTGAGATTTCCTCAGATTTGAGGTCTGGTCAAAGACTCAACTTGTGTTTCCACTTCAGCCTCACCTACTGATGCTCCACATGTGGTCCAGCCTTCGTCCCTGGTCATCAAGCCCCACATCTCTGTCCCACTGCTGATCCTCCGCTACTCCCTTCTTCTGTGGTCTCTGAGGAGAATCCTTGACAATGAAGGGACTGAGGGCTGTGTTGGGAGTGGGGTAAGACAAAGATGGGCGAGGAGTGGGGAAGCTGGAATGAATTCCTGGAGACATGATGCTGTCCCTCATCTATAGCATCTTATTGAGAAAGGAGGCAGGAGATCTGGAGTTCATGTCACCTGCTAGCAATAGTGTGTGCATGCTCAGCCTTGACAGACAGGAATCATGTCACAGAGCAGTGGGGAATTAGGAGGGAACACAGCAGGTGCCTGATCAGAGTAGGTTCCTAATCAGGAAGGTCCCATGATGCAGATGTGTAACATTAGGAACACAAATGAAAAATGTGGTAGCTCTAGTCGATGTATAGGGAGAAGAAGATTCCATACCACAGACAAAGATAAAAAAGATATAAATAAAGAGATGGCACAGTGGCAAGACCACTTCCTGTTCATGAGTCGGACTTGGGATCCAGTCCCAGCACCCACTTGGCAACCATACAGCCCCTTCTTCTCCACAAACACCAGGCATTCACACTGCACACTTACAGGCATGCAAGCTTATGCTCACACACATGAACTCACAATGAATAGAGCTGTGGCCTCCAGAAGGAGCAGTGTCCCCACTGCAGGCCGGGGGACTGAGCTGCTGCTGGAGTCTGCTCCTGTCTGGACAAGGTGGGGCTGAGACAGTCACATCCACACCTGTGTGTGTCGCTCTAAGGCTGAGAAAGAATGGAGAAGAAGGCTGGATAGGGGTCCCCATGACTCCTCCAGCCCCTCCCATCAGCCCCTGAGTCAGGAAGCAGAGCTGGTCATCACCACTTTATTCTGGTCTCCAGGTCTGCAGCAGGGTCTGGGGCTCTAGGACAAGGGAAAGGAGGAGGAAGACAGTAGGGGATCCAGGATGGAGAGCCCAGGGGTGATGGAGGAGGGAACTGAATGAGTTCAGTGAGGGTGGCTGTGGGTGGTGATGATTGGTACAGGGCACCCAGGAGAACTGACCCAGGCTCTCCTCACACCCTTCAAAAGATGTGTTTCCTTGCTGCAGGTTGAAGATGCTCCAGAGAAGTCGTGAGAGTTCATCTGGTGCCACCACTCTCCCTTCCATCAGCCTCCACCAGATGATCGGGATGCTGCAGACAGCATTTCATGGTCTTCATTCTGTGCAGTCACTTGGGCCCTTTCTTATCACCTTGTATTGTTTCCTTGGTGTGCCCTGGTTGGATTTGCCCATAACATGGATCTACTTGAACTAGAGGTCTGAAAAAGGACATGGTTGTGTACACATCCTTAGCATAGGAAACAGGACAACCAGATCTCCTTAGTGGGAATGTGAGCTTTTTACTCTTGTGTATCCAGGTCAATGTGAGACAGACTAGAAAGGTCCCACCCCTGATAAGGTATTTGTTGGAAGTTAAATTCTGTTAAAAATATTAATTTTGCAGTAGATATTTATTATAACCACACCTTACTAGGCAGCCATCTCTAGAACAAAAGAAAAAAATGTGTCTTTTATTTTTAAATGACTATATATAATATAGTCATAAGAGAAAATATAATATTTTATAATATTATTACTATTATAGGTTAGTCATCCACTAGGTAGCATAGCAATGTCCACATTCACAGTAAGAACAGAGAACCCAGAAGCTGCTCAGTCCTACAGGCTGGCTGTCCCTGCAGTGACAATCTGACAAGGAAAGGCAGAAGATCCTGGGAGCTGGTGCTGCTGGGTCCACATCCTCCTGGTGCTGATCTGGGTCAGTGCTGCTCTCCACTGTGCTCAGAGAAGCTTCTTCTGCACATCCAGATCTGGAATAGAAGGAGAATGAACTCACATTAGTTTCCTCTGACTCCACAGGGACACTTTGCACAAGTGCACTAGCACTCACATACACGTGACACACACACAGTGACAACATAAGGACTTGAAAATATGGAGAGATCACTATTGAAAACACATTTTTGAGGTAGGGCCTATCTATGAAGCACAACATGGAATGGAACTCACTATGCAGGCCAGGTTGACCTGGAACTTGGAGATCTTCCTGCCTCTATGTCCCCAGCATCGGGCTTAAAGGTGTGTGCACCACACCTGACTGATTCTTGGATTTTGAGCTCTTATGTTGTGCTACTAAAGTATTACTAATGTAAGATGCACTATTTCTCCCTAATTAATTTGTAACTATAGTGGCATTAAGTAGACTGGCTGTATTCAGATATCTCAGCCATCACTAAAGGAAACCTGTAACAACTAATCCTAGGAAAGAGAAATTGAAGATTATTTGTTTAGTTGAAGTCACTGGTAATGTCTGTCTTTACTTTTCCTTACTGGAAGCCATCTGATTGCTGACTTGGCATCTTTAAAAAAATGTCATCTTTCTTCTCAGATGTTTGTGAACTTTCTTCTTGTGATTGCTTTGCATGTGCTCATGTTTCTACAAATGTGTATATGACTGTGTTGTGTGATTTTTACATAAAATTTTTAGAGATTTCTCTTGTAATTATTTTACTTCTCAAGGTTTGTGACAATGCCTATTCCATTTGTGATAAACTAGCTGTAATATTCTCTTTGTTCTTTGTCAATCTGTATAAAGACCTGTCAAATTCAGTATTCATTATTTTGGTCTGAAGGGGGTTGGAGGTTGAGACAGGTTTCTCTGTGTAGCCTGGACTATCTGTTCATCTGAGGGGACTAACCCTGACAAGAAATGGAGGTTTTATTTCACAGAAATCAACCCTCTCACACCCAAGTTTAAGTATCTGCATGTGTTGACACCTCAACTGGATAGAAGCATTTGCTACTCAGAGGGGACACTGCTCTGACAGTGACCAAGACTCTTTTACATAAGATCATTTCTAGGTAAGGGCTGCCCTTGTCAATTGGATCAGATGATGGACCTGCCTTCTCTTGTCCATAGCTTAAATGGTCAGTAAGGCCTTAATGTAACCTGGAAATTGTGCCTACTGACTTCAGAACTCAGTGTGGGTCCAAAACAGAACTGGGCTTCTCTAAGTTAGTTTTGGAAACCGGTGAAAATTGGTCCAACCTTTCACTCCTGACCCTGCTTATGGTGAGATGTTCCACCCACAAGGCAGCACCCACCCAATGAGATTGCTTTTGAAAGATGCCTGTGAGGGTCTCTGCCAACACCTCCACCAGGAGTGGGTTGATCCACAGGAAGCCAGAAGGAAGCCCTGTTTAACCTGACTCAGTGGCCTTTGTTGGTTCAGACTTTGAAAGTCTGACTCAGTAGTTTATTTTAGACATATTTAAGTATAGAAAATGGGGAAAAATGTTTCCTAGTGACTATTAACTCCATCTCTGTGCAGAGCAGAGCTTAAAGCAGGACTACATAGAAACTCTTCTCAAGTCCAAGTGACATCTTCCATAAGGATAGGATCTACAGATTAACTGAGGACACAAGCTCAGGATAAGGGTCTGGGGGAGGATCCTGCTGTGGTGGACTGAGATAAACAAGATCAAGATATGGTTCTGGGGTAGCTGTTGTGGTCTGACCATACAAATAACACAGAGGTCACCAGGCTATTAACCCCATCTGTCCCCAGCCTTCTGGGTAGAAAATAGATTATACATCTCTCTTAGAAGAGGTGACCCTGTGCATTTAATATTCCTGAATTCCCTAGTATTCATCAGTGAGCACAAGGACCTACATGCCTCCTGCCCCTCCCACCTCCCTAGACAGCCCTGGCTGTCCTGGAACTCGATCTGTAGACCAGGCTGACTTCAAATTCAAAGAGGTCTACCTAACTCTGCCTCCCAAGAGCTGAGATTAAAGGCAAGTGCCACCACCGCAGGGCCCCTTTTTTATTTTGTTTCTTTATTAATTTTGTTTTTTTCCAGACAGGGTTTCTTTGTGTAGTCTTGAATGTCCCTGAACTAGCTTTGTAGACCAGGCTGACCTCAAACTCACAGAGAGTCTGAGCAATTATGTCAGACCAAGGGTAAGCACAAAACTAATAAACAACACCTAGATTGTAAGATTTTAAGTTTTAAACTGAGGGGAGGATGGCAAAATCATTGTGAAGTAATAATATATTCTAAGTAATAATATATTCTAAGCAATTGTAGTGTGGTTGCTTTGTATTTTACATGAAGCTATGTTCAAATTTTGCTCTTTTAAGCTTGTTTCTCATGAAAGTCAAGCATTCACATAAGTACTGATTTATGAGCAGGAGAGGAGAATGTCATCCACACAACAAATGACCAATACCTGGGAAATTTAATCAGCACCGGCTTGATGCAGGAGAATTGTCTGTATTCTGTCAATCATATTTTAATAAAATGCTGATTGTCCAGGCAGGCAGTATAGGCGGGAAAGCCTGACAGGAAGTAAGGTGGAGCAAAGAGAATGGGAATATTCTGGGAAGCAGGAAGCTCCCTCTGCCATTCCTGCCCAGATCACCAAAGAAGCATCATGTGAGCTGACAGCTGAAAAAGGTACCAAGCCATGTGGCTAACATAGATAAGGATAATGGGGTAACAAAAGTTATAAGAGCTAATAAGTAGCCTGACCTAATGGGCCAATCAGTTTATAACCTAATGTAGACTCTGTGAGATTTTCTTTGGGACTTGCTGGTTGTGGGGTAGCGGGTGGGACAGAAACCCCAACAAGCCGGCCCTCATGTTACACTGGCTGAAGTGCTTAAGTACAGAATAGTGATCTATTGGGAGGCTCGTTTTCATCCCCTAGGGTAGAATTTTCCAGAGGTATTGGGACTGTGGAAGTCAGCTATGATAAGCTAAGTATGGGCAGGTTCTTTACTTCCAACCATTATCACCTGCCAGAGTAGGACTCGGCCATCCATAAATTTAATAAGAGGCCTCAGTCTCAGTAGTTTACCCTGAAGCAATACCTGGCTGCAGGAAGAACCACAAGCTGAGATTACCCAACCACCACTCAAGAACAGACCATTCAAAGGAAATTCCTAATATTCCAACTGCTGTAGATAGGATCACCTGCCAACACACACTCACCAGGACACCCCCAGACAAATGTCATCCAATCAGGGATCCTGAACCTCAAAAAACCCTCATCCCCACCTTTATTACAATAAAAACCCAATTCTAACTGAGGTCGGGGCTCTCCTATTTATTCCAATACGTTGAACATGCGGAGAGAACAAGTTTGCAAACTTACTTAAAATAAAGGCTCTTTGCTTTAACATACAGGACTCTGTCTTCTTGTTGGCTTTTGGGGGACTTCATGGATTTGACCATAACAGGGACATTGGCTGTTAATTGTTTAAAGTAAGAGCAGAGAATGAAAAAAAAGTGTTCCCTTTCAGGATGTAAAGGAAGAGAGGAAAGGCAGTCTTGATCAAGTATAGTACTGTAATGTTGGTGAGGAATCACAATAGAAGCAGGAAGGCCTGACTGGAGGGCCCCGCTGTTTACATAGTCACATTTATGCACCTATGATCATGTAGCATTCTAAATTTATTCTTTGTCTTATGAATTGTAAAAATGGGGGAGTTCAAGTGCTGGTGCATGCTTTTAATCCCACTACTCCAAAGGCAGAGAGATACAAATCTCTGAGTTCAAGGTCAACCTGGTCTAGAATGAGTTCCAGGACAGCCAGGGGTACACAGAGAAAGCCTGTCTCTGAAGAAGGGGAAAAAAACAAACAAACAAACGAACCAAACAAAACAAAAAGCTTGAAACTTGGGAAAATTCAAAGGACCCTCCGAAAGTTCTTTATCCCCTAGTTACAATTTTTTTTTTTTTTTGGCCTAGAAGTTGGGCCCGTTTTAATTTTTCCCCAAGAGAAGGTCAGTGATCAGAGGGAGATGAGAGCTGGGAGCATAGAGAAAAACCTAAGTGCTGGGGTAGGCTAGCCATAGGGGTCAGACAATGGAGGAGACATCTCCCCGCCCCCTCCCCACACACAGTCCTTGTGTGTCATCAGACCACAGGAGCTGAAACAGTCCTGACAATCCGGGAGTGCAGCCATGGAGAAGGGCGCCCTAGGGAACCTGCTAGCTCCTACTCCAGATGGGGGTGGGGGGAGGGGGCAGTGGAACTTTGAGCTTCCTCCTGATTGATCAGCATCTGAAGGGGAGGAGCCCAGAAGTAATGAGATTCATAGGCTAAGCGGAGTGGGCGTGGTATGTGGTGAGTAGAGGGCGGGTCCTGTATATATTATGCTGATTCGAGCTGCTCCTGCCTAGATTCCAGGTGAAGACACTGACTTTGTTTTTTTTAAGATTTTTTTTTAATTTTACATACCAACCCCAGTTTCCTTTTCCTCCTCTTCTCCCCCCACCCCATAACTTCCACCCATTCCACACCCATCTATTACTTAGAAGGAGAAAGACCTCCCTTGGGGAGTCAACAAAGTCTAGTATACCAAGTCCAGGCAGGGCCAGGCCCCTCCCCGCAGCATCAAAGCAGAGCAAGGTATCCCAGTATAGGGAATCGGCTCCAAAAGGCCAGTTCATGCACAGGGATAAGTCATGGTCCCACTGGCCCCACAAACAGTTCAAGTCACACAACTGTCACCCACATTCAGAGGACCTACTTCAGTCCTATGCAGGTTCTCCACTGTCAGTCCAGAGTCCCTGAGCTCCTATTAGCCCAGGTCAGCTGTCTCTGTGGATTTCCCCATTATAATCTTGAACCCCCCCTTCCTTTATGAAGTCACAGATTTTATTCTGTCTCTGTCTTTCCTGATGCTGTTGCCCAGAGTCCCAGGGTGAGTGAGATGACGGCACCCCGGGCTGTGGGAGCCCAGGACAACAATGCCCTCCATGCCAGCAAAGGAGCAAGACAATGAGCTAGCAAGTCAGAAACCGCCAGAGACCAGACCCACAGTGCTCCCTGGCCCATTGTGATGAAATCGCAATGCTCAGGGAGGGAGGAGCAGAGGCCCTGGAGCGACCCCAAAGAGATGTAGGAAAATATGTGTCTGGAGGACCAGGAGGCCTGAATTCATAGTCCAGATGCCCGGAACTTTGCGAATCTTTGCACCGGGTCCTCTGCGGGACGGTACTGAGGACTCCCCATCCTCTCCGCAGCTCCAGTCACACCTGTAGGTGCCTGGCCTCAGGAAGGAACCATGGCAAAGGTTGCAGCCACCGGAAGCAACCTTTCCCTAGTTCTGTGCCTTTTCGTTGTACTGAGCTGTCTGGGGTCCAAATTGCCTTTCAGTGAGTTACCCGGACTTAAATGGAGGGGTTGGGGAGGGGAGCATTGGGCTACCGAGTCAGGAAGATAAAAGTCTCCTCAGGGGAAGCTCCAGGGCTTCTTTCTCTTCATTACTACCGGAATTTAAGTCTGCTCCTTGGTCCTTGCAGCGTCCCTCCCCCATCCTCACAGGTGAATTGACAAAGTTAGGGGAAAGTCACTGTGGCAGGGCTGGAAGGGGTGCATGAATGAGGAGGGCACAGCAGCAGAGGGGAGTAGCTAATGAGGCCCTCAACACCACTGGGGTCCACTGAAGCCTCACCAAGTCACCAGTGAGGAACCCCTTCAGGAGGCAGTGCTGCTCTGGACCTAAGGCAGTCTATGCTCTGAAGACTGCCTTCCCGGGAGTTCCTCTCGAGCCCTCCACCATTCGGAACCTTTTTGCTCTTTCTTTCACATCTTCTCACCCCCCCTCTTTTATTAAAATCAAAAGATTACAATAGTTGCAGCCATGAACAAGGCAGCTACAACCACACTCGTTCGTAGTTTCTTTCCTTCTTTTTTCTTTCTCTTGTTGTTTTAAGGTGGGATTTCACATCATAGCACACACTATAGAATCTGCAATAATCCCTTCTCTGTCTCTCTGTCTCTGTCTCTGTCTCTCTCTGTCTCTCTGTGTGTGTGTGTGTGTTGTTGTTGTTGAAGGAGGTCACTTGTTTGTCCCAGCTTCCCAGATCTGAAATAACAGAACAGAAACTGTATTAATTAAATCATTGCTTGACCCATTAGCTCTAGCTTCTTATTGGCTAACTCTTACACATTAATGTAACCCATTTGTATTAATCTGTGTATCGCTACATGGCTATGGCTTACTAGCTAAAATTTTGGCATCTGTCTCTGGTAGGGCTACATGGCTTCTCCCTAACTCCTCTTTCTTTCTCCCAGCATTCACTTTAGTTTTCCCCACCTAGCTCTTTCTGCTCTGCTCTGCTATAGGCCCAAAGCAGCTCCTTTATTAACCGATGGTATTCACAGCATACAGATGGGAATTCCACATCACCTCCCCCTTTCTGTTTAAATAAAATGAAGGTTGCAACTTTAACATAGTAAAATTACATACAACAAAACATGTATCAAGCAAGAATTACAGTTATAATATTTAAACCTACTTTATTTTTTATCATAACTAAGGAAAACTGTAACTGTATTTACATATTCTTCAATTCCATCAAAGACTCCAGAAGGATATAATATTACCTAAGTAAACAGGAAGTGCATTGTAAGCAACTTCTAAAACTCTAGAATTGACAGAGACTTCTCATTACCTGGACACTCACCCAAAGTTCTTCTGTACCATTGGGGCATCCATATTCAGCCTATCCTCTTTGAAGTAGATTGGTATTGCCCAGGAGCAGATGTGTCTCACTGTCATGAAAAGTCCTAAGTTCTTAAAACATTTTAAATGTTCTTAAACATTTTAAAAGTTCTTAAACATTTTAAGTTCTTAAACATTTTAACATATTCTGTAGTCTTTGAAAGATTTGAAGAATGCCTATTCATCTGAAATATGTCTCTGTACATCTAGAAAATCTAACATGACTACAAGCTTGACTATTATAGATGATTATCTATTAATCTATATTTCTTAATTATACATTACATTTTTACATGAGCTGAAGAAACAATACCTTAATCAAGAACAGAAATATACAGATAACAAAATCGACCTTAAATTTGTATCAATAAACCATTATCCATACCAATGCAAATCTCTATAGCATATTCCCCTTTAAAAGTAAACAAACATTTGCAAATAGTACTTGGGAATTTGGGTATAGTTCTCTAGACTACTTCCTGCTGATTGGGGTGCTGCTAATCAGGTCTTTCATGGTGTATTCTGTGTGCTAGGTTCATCTCAGTCAGCAGTTGGGCTAAGTAATTTTTTGGAAGGTGTTCACAGTGACCTTTCAGGGTGGCTTGGAGCATTAAACCATATTAGTCTGGAAGCAATCCACAGGTTCTCATCCTCTGTGGAAACAAAAGAAGAACCTCTTTTCCAAAGCAACTTATCCTTAGACTCAAATTTTGAATTCAAGAAGCCTTTAAAATATCTATGCTGGTTTAGTTTAGCAGCCCATGCAATGAAATATCTCTCTATACTTAGCTCATTCACAGTCAAAAAATTCAAAAAAACACAATAATATACATAATCCAATCTCTCTGTGCATTCTCCATCTTTGCATGGATTATTCTTTCTTTACTCCCTTTTAGTGTTTGACTGTCTCTACTCTGTCACTTTAATGACTTTGTTTTATTATTGTATAACTCTCTCTACTCTTTTTCTTCTCTCTCCAAAGCCTATGTACATTTTTTAAACACACTGTATCTTGTTTGGAGCTCTTTTATGTCTGAGTCTGTCCTATTGTATATCTGTAATTCTTTACAAAATGAGTTTCAAAGCCACACCCAGTATCATACTTTGCTCAGCCATACCTCCTGAACCTGCCCAAGCAGCTGCCACCAACTGGGGACCAAATATTCAAAAGTTAACTTTATAGAGGACAGGTTCATCCAAGCCAGCATACCATCCACTCACAGTAGCATCTCTGTGTTCATCCCTGAGTGACAGGGCAGTAATGAAATAGTACAGAAAGAATGACTGCATTTGCTGTTGGGCTGAGTGGTCACTCTTGTGGTCCTCCTAGGAAGGCAATGAGGGTCTTTCATAGAGGTGGTTCAGTTTTAATCGTTATTTTAGGGTTTTTTTTTTTATTGACTGCATGTATGTATGTGCACCACATATGTGCCTGGTGCCTTTGGAGGATAAAAGAGGACATTTGGTCTCCTGGAACTGGAGTTACAGGTGGTGGTGAGTCACCAAGTGCAATTGCTGAGAATCAAACCTAAATCCTTTGCTTCTACTTCTAAGCCATAGTCTGTCACTGAGGGAGGTCAGGGCAGGTATTCAGAGGCAGGCCCATGTGCTATTCCACACAGCATTATCTATGACCAAGGAACTCACTTCACAGCCAGAGAGGCACAGCAGGAACCGTGGAGGATGCTGCTTGCTGTCTGGATCACATCTTCTGCAGAGCTAGATTTCTTATCTAGATTTCTCACCAGAGACCACCTTCCCAGGGAACAATAATTCCCACAGTGATTGGACATTCCTACATCATTAACAGTCAAAACGGCCCCTCAATAGACACTCCCTTCTTAGGTGACTCTAGGCTGGATCAAACCGACAAAGGAAACCAGCAAAGATGGTCAAGACTTTCTTTTCTTTCTTTCCTTCCTTCCTTCCTTCCTTTCCCTTTTCCTCTCTTTCTTTCTTTTTTTTTTAAAAGACATTATTCCAAAAGGACTTTCTTGTTCTAAATACTGTCTATGAGGCCTGTCTCTGAGCCGCTGTTCTGCATCCCTAACTTTACTGCTGTTTCCTTCACAGAACTGGTGTCTCTTTGCTACAGCTTCACTGAGGGCCAGACAGGGCCTGGATCACAGAGGCAAGAAGTTAAAGGCCAAGCGAACAACGAAACTTTTGTCTTCTGCAATAATAACACCTGCCGTGCCATAGGTGTTCTAGGGAGAAAAGTGAATGTCACAGAGACCTGGCAAGTACAGGTTGATGCTCTGCAACAAGGATGTGGACTGTTCAATGCGCTTATGCTTCACATGATGCGGGAGAACACAATGGGAGGTGAGTTTTAAATTGCCCCGTAGGATTGGGGGATGTAGCTCAGTGACAGAGTGCTTGCCTAGCATGCATGAGGCCCCAGGTTCAATCCCCACTGCTACAAACAAAATAAAAGAACTTATTAGATGGCTCCATGAAGGAAAGGACAGGATTTGTGACAGGTTAGGGACATTCAGTGTTTTCGTGGAGGAAAATAAAAAAAAAAGAATCACTTATAAAATGAGAGGGCCTGCTTGTTGGGGTATCTGTCCCACCTGGTACCCTATAGCCGGCAAGCTCCAAAGAAAATCACACAGAAATCTCCATAAGTTATAAAACTGATTGGCCCATTAGCTCAGGCTTCTTGCTAACTTTTATAAGTTACATTAACCCATTATTCTTATCTATGTTAACCACGTGGCTCAGTACCTTTTCCAGCAGGGCAGGTTATACCTTGCTTCTCTATGGTGTGGGCAGGAATGCAGAGGGAGCTTCCTGTTAATACTCCCGTTCTCTTTGCTCCACCTCTACTTCCTGTCTGGATTTCCCACCTATATTTCCTACCTGGCCAATCAGCATTTATTTTAAATATGATTGTCAGTATACAGACAATTCTTCCGCACCAATCACTGGTGGTTCCTCCCACCAAAGAGGCCCAGTAGTAGTGTAGGAGGCCCTTCTGTATTTGTGTTGTTTTCATTGGTTATTAAAGAAACTGCCTTGGCCTAGTTGATAGGGTGGAATTCAGGTAGGTGGGGAAGACAGAACAAAATTCGGGGAGGAAGAAAGCAGCAGAGAGAGCCTAGAGGCCTTGAATCTCCAGCCTGAGATGGATGTAGTTCAGAATCTTCCCAGGAAGCCACGACCTTGTGGTGCTACACAAATTACTAGCAATGGGTTATCAAGATGTGAGAGTTGGCCAAGAAAAGGCTAGATATAAAGGGCCAGGCAGTAATTTAATTAATACAATTTCTGTGTGGTTATTTCGGGGGGGGTTAAGCTAGCCGGGTGGCAGGACATGGTCTGCTCCTCCTCCTACACAGTAGCAAGGCTAAAATGTGAAGGGTAGAGCAAGGTCAGATGATGGGAAGGGAGGGTAAGCAGACAGGATTCATCAAGGCCAGAGGCTGATCTCTTCCCAATAGGCACAGTGCACCTCTTACTGACGGCCAGGGTGTGTTGTTGGCATGAAGCAGATGGACAATTCAATGCATCCTGGAACTTTGACATTAATGAACGCAAAATGTTGCATTTTAACTCAATCACTGGAACATGGACTACTCTTCATCCTGCATCGATCATGTTGCTAGAGAAACGCAAGAAAAACACGGAAATAACTACCTTCTTACAAATGACCTCCCAGAATCACTGTAAGACTTGGTTTCAGGAGTTCAAGTCCCACTGGGGACAAGAGGTGAAGCATACAGGTAACTGTGAAGAAGGGAAAGAAACTCACTGCAAATAAGGGGTGTGTGTATGTGTGTGTATATATTTGTGTGTTTGTATTTGTGTGTGGTGTGTGTGTGTGGTGTGTATGTGTGTGTGTTTGGTGTGTATATTTGTGTGTGTATTTGTGTGAATGTGTGTGGTGTGTGTGTATATGTGTGTGGTGTTTGTGGTGTATGTGTGTGTGTGGTGTGTGTGTGTAATAATCTAATCACCATGAGTTCGTGAGTTAATGGTCACTTTTCCCATCATTCATTCCGGTTCCCACGCTCTCCAATCTCACTAATTGTTCTCTCACTGTGGCCCTCACTGACTGTTACAATCTGAGCGCCTTTACTTCCTGGTCTTTTTCTCATTCTAGACTCACTGTTGCTTTCATCTCACCTGATCTCTCTTCTTCCCTGTCACCATCCTCACAGGTCACCCTCATGCCTGCTCTCCTGCCATCATTATCCTGCTTCCCCCACCATAGCTGCATGAGTCTTTTGAGATCAGGGAACATGCCCTCTCTCCCTTCCAACTTGGGACCCACCTAAACAGTTGCTGCAGAGCAACAACAGGGGTGGAACTCTCTGTGTTGCTGAATGACCTGAGGACCCAGAAGCTAAGGTGAGATTTTCTCAGATTTGAGGTCTGGTCAAAGGCTCAGCTTGTGTTTCCACTTTAGATTCATCAAAGGCCATGATCATCATTCCTCACATCTCTGTCCTGCTGATTCTCCTCACCTGCTCCCTCCTGCTGCTTCTCTCAGGAGGATCCTCAGCCATGACAGGTACTGAGGGCAGTGTTGGGAACAGAGTAAGGGACGCATGGATGAGGAGTGAGGAAGCAATTGCTGAAGTCCTGCTCTTGTCCCGCAACTGCAGCATCTTATTGAGAAAGGAGGCAGGAGATATGGAGTTCATGTCACCTGCTAGCAATAGTGTGTGCATGCTCAGCCTTGACAGACAGGAATCATGTCACAGAGCAGTGGGAATGAGGAGGGAACACAACAGGTGTCTAATCAGGCGGGTCCCATTTACAGGAACACAAAAGAACATATAGTTCCTCTTAATGTGTAGAGGCAAGAGGATTCCACTCAACAGACAAAGATAAAAATATGAATAAAGAGATGGCTCAATGGCAAGACCACTTGCTGCCCCTGCTTCAGACCCAAGTTCCATTCCTAGGACCCATATGGCAGCTCACAACCAAAGAGCTTCTGGTCCAAGGGATCCAGCCCCTTCTCCACAAACACCAGGCATTCACACAGTGCACTTACAGACATGCAGGTACACACTCATACACATGAAATAGAAATAGATCAAGGAGCAGCAGCCTCCAGGTCCCTGGAGCAGTGTCTCCACTGGAGACTGGTGGACCGAGATGCTCCTGGAATCCATTGCTCTCATCTGACTGTGCAGATGGACAGGTAGGGCAGGGACAGGCACACCCTCAGGTGTGATGCCACTCTTAGATATTGGGACTATTAAATTCTAAAGCTATATTAGATATATTAAATTCTAAAACTATATTAAATATAGTTTTTTATATAGTTTTTTAAATATAGTATATTTAATATAGTTTTAGAATGAAAGAGAAATGATGTCTGTAACACCACTCAAGGCCTGAATAATCAGGGCCCATGGGCCTTTCTGGATAGAGTGGATAGAGGTCACCCCCTGCTCCTCCAGCCCCTCCCATCAGCCCCTGAGTCAGGAAGCAGAGCTGACTCATCACCACTCTATTCTGAACTCCAGGTCTGCAGCAGGGCCTGGGGCTCTGGGACAAGGGAAAGAAGGAGGAAGACAGTAGGGGATCCAGGATGGAGAGCCCAGGGGTGATGGAGGAGGGAACTGAATGACCCTCAGTGAGGGTGGTTGTGGGGTGGTGATGACTGGTACAGGGCACCCAGGAGAACTGACCCAGGCTCTCCTCAGACCCTTCAAAAGATGTGTTTCCTTGCTGCAGGTTGAAGATGCTCCAGAGAAGTCGTGAGAGTTCATCTTGTGCCACCACTCTCCCTTCCATCAGCCTCCACCAGATGAATCAGGATGCTGCGGACAGCATTTCATGGTCTTTCACTCTGTGCAGGCACTTGGGCCCTTTCTTATCACCTTGTACTCTTGGTGTTCCCTGGTGGGATTTGCCCTTAACATGGAACTAGTTGAACTAAAGATCAGGAAAGCATGGTTATGTACACATCCCTAGCATAGGAAACAGGATAACCAAATCTCTTTAGTGGGAAAATATGAAGTTATTTCTCCTGTGAAAATAACTTACCAGTATCTAAGTTAGTTTGAGACAGACTAGACAGATTCCAACCTCTCTAAGGTATTTGACTAGGAGTTAAATTCTATTAAGTATATTAATTTTGTAATAGATATTTATTATAACCACACCTATACAAGGCAACCTTCTCTAGCACAAAATAAAGAATGTATCTGATATTTTCATATGACTACATATGATAGGGATATTTCATAACAGAAAAGTGTTATTTTATAATATTATTACTATTATAGTTTAGTCTCTGTGACATGCACTAGGTCCAGCAATGGAGACAGAGAACCCAGAACCCAGAAGCTGCTCAGTCCTACAGACTGGCTGTCCCCTGCAGTGACAATCTGGCAGTGAAAGGCAGAAGTTTCTGGGAGCTGGTGCTGCTGGGTCCACATCCTCCTGGTGCAGATCTGGATCAGTGCTGCTCTTCACTGTGCTCAGAGAAGCTTCTTCTATACATACAGACCTGGGATGGAAGGAGAGTGAACTCACACTAGCTTCCTCTGACTGCACAGGGACACTTTGCACAAGTGCACTAGCACTCACACACACGTGACACATACACACAGTGACAACATAAGTACCCTAAAGTATGGAGAGTTCACTGTTGAAAACAGCATTTTTTTATGTAGGGGCTAACTAGATTAACCTGAAATGGAACTCACTATGGGGACCAGGCTGGTATGAAACTTAGAGATCTTCCTGCCTCTACCTCCCCGGCATTGAGCTTAAAGGTGTGTGCACCACACCTGGCTGATTCTTGGATTTTGAGCTCTTATAGTGTGCTACTAAAGTATTACTAATGTAAGATGCACTATTTCTCCATAATTAATTTATAAACTACAGTGGCATTAAGCAAACTGGCCATATTCAGATATCTCAGGTATCACTAAAGAAAACCTGTAACAACTAGTCTTAGGAAAGAGAAGTTGAGGACCAGTTGTTTAGTGGCAGTCACTGGTAATGTCTTTCCTTCATTCTCCATACCAAAAGCCATCATATTGCTGACTTGGTATCTTTTAAATGCCATCTTTCTATTCAGATGATTATAAACTTTCTTATAATTGCCTTGCATATGTTTATATTTATACAAATGTGTGCATGGCTGCACTGTATGACTTTTACATAAAATTTTTCAAAGAATTTTCTCATGATTACTTCTCAAAGTTTGTGGCAATATTTATTTAATTTGTGATAAAGTAACTGTAATATTCTCTTTGTTCTTTGTCAATCTGTATAAAGTCCTGTCAAAATCAGTATACATTTTGGGGGGGTCTTGAGGGTGATTAGAGTGTATTGATATTTTGTTTGTGTTTTAACAAATAAAGCATGCCTGAAGATCAGAGTGCAGAGCTAAGCCACTAGAGGCCAAAGAGTGTTGGCACACACCTTTAATCCCAAGAGATGGACAGAGGCAGAGGGATCTCTGTCAGTTCAAGGTCACTGTGGGCTACACAAGATTGAATCTGTCTAAAAGAGAAATGAGGCTCCCACAAAGGTGACCCCAGAACTTGGGATCACGTGTCTTTAGTCCCAGTTCTAGGGAAGTGGAGAAAGGAGTGACATGGTAGGTGAGGAAAGGAATAGAAGGTGGGAGGAGATACGAACTCAGTGTAGTCTGAGGAGCAGTCTAGTCTGAGAAACACTGCAGTCTGGGACAGTCAGTTTTAGCAGTCTGAGCATTGGTGGAGGTAAGAACTCTCTAGTATCTGTTCATTTTGCTTCTCTGATTTTTAGCATTAACCCTTATATATGACTCTGTTTTGATTATTAATGCCAACTAGAATTCATATTACATCTGGCACCCAGATATTTGGGGTGTGAATTCACTGGTGAAAATAAGAAGCTAAGACCATTGAACAACAGAGTAGAGCTAGAGGTATGGAAATCTATCAAGATCAACTTCTTATAGAAGGAGATTATGTTACTATAGATAGGCAATCTTAACATGATGCCCATACCCTGGCTTTATGGTATGCAGCAACATTGAATATTTGGGACAAAATTGAAGACGTAGGAAAGAAGACTGGGTCACTTATTAAAGTCATAGAGGGCCCAAAAGAAATCTTCACAGATTTCATCAAAAGACTGACATCAACAGTAAATAGAATGATATCAAATTCAGAAACTAGACAAATAATAATTGAATCTCTGGCTTTTGAAAATGTTAATTCTTAATGTAAAGTCTTTTAGGCCTTGAAAGACAAGATCAGCACCATTGGAGGAATGAAGTCAGGATACTGTCGATACTGAATCTCATGACCATGATGATGCTTGGATAGGAGAGGTGATTTCCAGAGGTTTGAACAAAAATCAAAATGTCAAGTGTCTCAACTGTGGCAGACAAGGTCACCTTCAAAAGTATTGAACACAGGGCATTCCCAGAACAATGTTTATTTCTAAGCATAATTCAAATAAAATAGAAGACCCCTCTCTTAAGGATTATACAGAAGGTGAGCAAAGACAGAGCATGAGATATGTCAAATGTGTAGGGTCAGGAGGACAGAGAAGAAAATTAAAACCATATGTGGCTAACACAGCAATGAATTTGTGGGGACATGACTTTTTATAGCAATGGAATACTCAGATTAACAGTCCAGCAATTAACATATGCTTCTGGGAAAAACATTAGAAGGTATCATAAAGAACAGCCACCAACCATTCAGGTTGTACAAGAACAGGGCACAACCGCTGCTGATCTTCCAAAGGCACCAACAACTGTACCTTCAAAATGGTTGACAGACAAACCTGTATGGGTTGTACAATGGCCTTTAACATCAGAGAAACTGCAGTGCTGGCAGAAGTTTCTATCCTGCCTAGCCCCACAGCCATTCCCAAGAAGTGTTTCCCAAAGAAACACACAAAGGTCTAAATTAATTATAAACTGGTTGGCCTATTAGCTCAGGCTTCTTATTAACTAATTCTTAAATCTTGCAGTAACCCATAATTCTTGTCTGTGTCAGTCATGTGGCTTGGTACCTTTTATCAGTGATGCATTCTCATCTTGCTTTTTCTGCATCTGGGTTACAACTGGAGACTGAGTCTTTTCTCTTCCCAGAATTCCTATTTTCTCATCGCCCAGCCTATACTTCCTGCCTTGTTGCCCCACCCATACTTTCTGCCTGGCTACGGGCCAATTAGCCTTTTATTGAAATACAAGTAACAAATCTTTACAGGGTACCAGACCATTGTCCCACAACAGTGCCGGCTTTAGATAGGATGGTACAGTAATAATTAAAGGACCAGAATGTTGAAGAATAAATTGGCCCTTGGAAGTCTCCTGTATTTGTTGTTAAAAAGAAATCTGGAAAATAGAGATTAATAGTTCTTTCTACATAAGACTGGCCACATGTGACTTTGTTTTTTGTTTGTTGTGTATTTTTGCTTTTGCTTTTTTTGTCCCAAATGTCTCATCCTGAAAACTACGTGCTTGGAGACCTGTTTTGAGGTGGGATATGCCAGTGTAATGGCAATTGTTTTCATTAGCATCCTTTCTCCTGCAGTCTTCCA